AACACCTTACCACTTCTATGTCCTTCTTCAACTGGAGATTATGGTTTTCCTTGCTCCCAACAGATGATATCTTAAAAATGAAAGGCTTGAGGGGACCATCTGTATGTCTTTTGTGCCTTATGGAGGAGGAGACCTTGGATCACCTCTTCTTTAATTGCAACTTCTCTCAAAAAGTTTAGATTGAGTTATTGCCCAAGGTCAAAATAGATACAATGAATCTCAGCTGGATCAACTTCTTCAACTACTGGGAAGAGTGGAAACAGATCAATTTACAAGTTATTCCTTGTATAGTGGCTTGCTTGGTTTATATGGATGTGCAGAAATAGTGTTAAATATGAAGGTTCTACTCCTCTTGTTAAAGCTGTAACTACTCATTGCACATATTACCTACGAAAAATCATCAAATATCATGGGTTCCATAATATCTTCAGGAAATGGGTTCCTCAAACTGATATTCAGTATAATTTCAGTTTCTCTTTGATTAAATGGGCTCCTCCTCCTGATGGCTGGTTGAAAGCTAATACTGATGGAAGCTTTCTTAAAGGATCTGCTGGTTTTGGTGGGGTTTTCAGAAACTCCCTTGGTCACCATGTTCTCCATTTCTCCTCACCAACTTGGGCTCTAGATGCTGCAGAAAATGAAATGATAGCTATTTATTGGGCTCTTAAAATTGCTGTCCAATAGAATGGGACCTTTAATCATTGAAACTGACTCCAATCTTTGCACCAAATTTTTGTAGCATGAGGAAGACCCCCCTTGGCACATTGGAAGATGGATAAGGAAAATTTAAAGAAACTTTGGTAGCTACACTGTTAAATTTTAGTATATCAACAGGAAAGGTAATGGGCCTGCTCCCCTTTTCGCCACTACTGGTAGATGCCACTACTGGTAGATGTTCTGTGGTAGATGTTCTGAACAAATTATGGTGGCAAATTTTCCTTCCCCAGATTTAGCTTATCCACTGCATGAAGATAATTTATGCATTCCTAAAGTACACACATTCTAAAGAGGAACTATTTCTGGTCACACTTTTTGAACTTGGTGGTTGTTTTAATTTGTTTGCACCTTGCCTCTTCCCATATTGGGTTTTCCTTATGTTGTGGGAACCTTATGCTTCTTTTATTTTGTTTTTTCTTAAAGCCCTAGGAGCTAATTGTTGTCTTTTTTGTTGTGAATGGACTGATGATTCCTGTATTGATTCATCAAGCCATCTAGTTACCCTTAACCTTGTAATCTTCATTTTCTTCAACATGTAGGGAGACGCTGTCTCAAAAAAAAAGAAAATATATATATATATATATATATATATA